TGGGTGCCGTGCCGCTCTCCGGCGCGTTGAGCGTCAACGCCAGCTCCGAAAAGTAGTACATGTTCTCCGCGTACTTCCTAGGCCGGGGGGAAAGGGACGGACACTCAGCCCCTCCACCGGTGGGATTCACACCTTCCCCCTCGGATTTTGGGACACCTCGTGTCCCCTACTCACGGGAGCGGGTTCCTCTTCCACAGCAGCACCCGGCTCTCCTCGGCCTCGTGGGCTCTCTGCCGCCCCTCCGCTCCGTTATCCCCGGCGCCCAGCGTCACCTTGTAGCAGTCCATCTTCTCATCCCAGGTACCCAGCAGGACAAAATGCACCTTTCCCGTGGGGTCTGTCACCTCCCCGGTGACCTGCCGGGACAGGGGACAGCCTGAATCAGGACACCCGGGAGCCAGGGGCACCCCAGTGAACCGCACGCCGCCCTCCCAGCCTCCCCGCGCCCCTACCTTCCTCGCCACGTCCCGCGAGAAGTAGCTGTAAGGAACGAACTTGAGGTTGCACTTATCGCCCGTCTTGTGATTAACGATCTCGATTTCACCCGACTGCGGAGGGAAGGAGGAAACGGTCAGATCCGGCCCACGGCCCTTTCCGCAGCGGCAGGGGAAACTTGGGTTCCACGCCTCTGTACAGGACCGGCACAAACGGTTCCCGGTGAGTCCCCGTCACCGGGGTTTCATCCCACCTGATCTATCCAGAGTTTGCCCACGATGATGTTGTGCACGGTGGTGGTGACTTTTTTCCACGTGTAATGGTTGCCGGAAGAGTGGAAGACGCAGTGGATGGTACCTGAGGGGGGAAGGCGTGCTGGGAACAATCCCCCGGCCTACCTGGCCCACGGAAACTCCGGTGATCCCAAACCTGCCCCGTTCCCACGCGCAGCGCAGATATCCTCCCTCCCGCCCTCCACGCCTGGCACTGCGGAGCTCACCCAGAGGCATGATGGAGAGATATTTGCCCCGAAACTTGCTGGTGATTTTAATTTCCTGGCGAAGCGTCCAACCGTGC